TGACAGCCAGAGTGATTTGGGTTTAAGGCTGGTCTTTAAGAAACTCAGACCAAGTGGTCCACAGCTGATTATAGTTTAATATCTTATAGGTCCTGAGGAGCATTTATATTTTTTTTTACCAGGGGACACCTACAGATGTGTAATGAATGGTGGGAACAGGAACCCTCATCAGGCAAGATGAGAGGTAATTGGAGTGGGGGAAGGGGAGAACTTTCTTGGCAGTCCAATACTTACATTCTACCTTATTTGTAAGATTAAAATCATAGTGTGCCATGGAAAAGAACAGGATAGAAAAGAGATGAAAAGAAAAGAAAAGAAAAGAAAAGTAAAGAAAGGCATGCACTTGGAGTGAGAAGATGTAGGCTAGAGTCCTAGTGCCAGTTTGGTACAGCATGACCTTAGACAAACTCTCCTTCAGTCTGGTTAAGAGTTCCATTGTCTACATCATTGAATGATAGTGAACATCAAATGAAATAATATTGGTGGTAATGAACACGATGTTGGAAGAGTCCACTCATCTCACTAAGTCTCAGGTCCCTTAGTGCGGATGCTATTCCTAATGTATCAATTAGAAAATTATAGAATTTCAGAGTTGGGATACCAGAAGCCAGCTAGTGTCTAACCTCTGCTTAAATAAGAATCCTCTCTATAACAAACCCAACAAGTGGTATTTCAGCCTTTGTTGAAGACCCTCAGTGATGAGGGGGAACCATTACCTCTTGACCACAGGATGCCTAGAAGGGTATGCCTGAGGTGGGCCTGCTGTGGCACAGCTTATTGCCTCCCCTGAGGAGAAGGGGCAGGATAAGTGGGGGATAATAATAACAACAAAAATAATATTAATAATTATTAGTATTATAATGAATGAAATTATTATAATGAATTATTATAATACATCATAATGTTTATACCATTATGATATAATAAATTATAAATTATTATAATGAATGGAATTATTATAACTATGACATTTATATAATACTGTAAGGTATGCATAGTACTTATGTGTTATCTTCATATAGTCAGCTAGATGGTGCTCAATAATCTTCATGATCAAATGAGACAAACTATAAAGTCTTTTGCAAAATTTAAAGTGCTACGTAATTATTATTACCGTCATTATCATCTCAACTGATCTTCCAAACAACCCTGTGATGAAAGTACTATTATTATCTCCATTTTACAGATGAAAAAACTGAGACTGAGAGAGACTAAGTGTCTTGTCCAAGGTGACATAGCTAGTAAGTGTATGAGGCAGGCTTTGAACTCCTCCAGTCTTCCTGATTCTGAATCCAGCACTCTGGAGCAGCTAGGTGGCACAGTGGATAGAGTGGCAGCCTGGCCTTGGACACTTCCTAGCTGTGTGACCCTGGGCATGTCATTTAACTCTTTTTGCCTCAGTTTCCTCATCTGTAGAATGAGCTGGAGAAGGAAATGGTGAACCATTCCAGTATCTTTGCCAAGAAAACCCCCAATGGGGTCACAAAGAGTCAGACCCAACTGAAATGACTGAAATCCAGCCCTCTATCCACTGTTACCTAACAGACTCTAGTACCAGTGTTAATGGGCCCTGAATGGTGCACCTATACAGGCCTCTGCTCCTGAGGCAGTCCATTTCATTTCTGGAAATCTTCAGTGCTTCTTGCCATCAGACCTAAATTAAATTCAAATGTAAAGGGAATGAAAAGGCAATATACTGAATCTGTGTTTTAAAAATTATGTCAATGACACTTTGTCAATGTAGTTATACATATCATTTTTTGGTAAAGTTTTCTGTTTCTCTAGTAATACCCTAGTAATGCTATTCCAGTTTGCAAATCAGAGCATGAATTTTGAGGGAACTTTTTAGGAGAAGAAACTAGTCTTGCCTAATTATTTTTGCTGGAGGGAAACCAGGAGAAAGGATAACTTGATTAGGTGACCAAACACCTACACAAGAAATGTTTTGACTCTTTGAGGTTATTGGTTATCTTTTTAAAATAATGACTTCTCTGGTCCACCAAACAGTACCCCTTGCATGACAGTTCTTAACGTGGGGTCTACAAAGGTCCCTGGATAGACTTGAGGGAGATCTATGAACTTAAGTAGGAAAAAAATTACATCTTCATTTTCAATAATCTTTAACTAAAATTTGTCATTTCCTTCAATTATTTTAAAGCATTATTTTGAGAAGTGTTCCATAGGCTTTACCAGACTCTCAAAGGGGTCCATCCATCTATGACACACAAAAATGGTGCAGAATTCCTGATATAGAGTTTTGAAAGGCTTACTTGGTAACTCTCACAAAGTGAGCTCTTTATTTCTTCTCTGTAGGTCTAGTATGTGAAAGAGACTGATAATCAGATTTCCATCATCCATATGTACCTAGTAATACCATTTAATGTGAACGTGTAGGCTGAGAGAAGCAGAAAAATATTTCTTAAGAACTCTAGAGGGTTTTGTATTTTTATTGGGCCACATATTTTATGGAGAGAAATCTCATAAAAATCAGTTAATTATTTATGTCCTTTTGAATATGAGCAAATACAAAAATTAATTATTAACATTGTATGTGAAAAATGTGTCATACTTGAGGGCTCTGCATGGTATTTCTGTTTTTTTTTAAACAAAGACTATTGAAACAAGCTTGCTTCAAGGATGAATGCCTCATTAATATTTTTCAAAGACGGTGCATTGTTATAGACAAGGGTGTGTAGTACAGACTCAAATTGACCAAGTGATTTGTCTTCCCTTGCCTTTTCCCCATTCAAATATCATCATCTTCCTTCTCTTTCTCAAAAAAATTTTCTACATTCGATACTTACACTTCCTCACACTCTTCTCAACCTCTTTCAATCTTGTTTACATCTTTCCTTTTTTGTCAAAATCACTCAGAGTTCATCAATTAACTCCTAGTGGCCAAATCAAATGATTTAAAGAAAATCCTCATGTTCCCTGGTCTCTCTCTAGCTTTGGACACTGATAACCCCCTGCTATTGGATTCTTTTTCCTCTGGGCTTTAGAGAGATAATACCTGGTTTTTCTTACCCTTACCTGACTTCTTCTCCATCTCCTCTACTGATTTCTCAATCTTCCCTCCACCCAATCATGCATTCCAATGTTCTGTTCTTGAACGGCTATCTACTCCCCTTGTGAGTGGATAAAGTAATATTATTTCTCAATTTCTAAAATGTATAAAAATGCTTAAAAATAATTGAGAGTTTTTTAGGTTCAATTCCTCATCTATGTGGTAATTTAAAAAAACTTCCATCTTTTATGAGTCTGTTTCTTTCTTCTTTGTTACTTTGTACATCCTCAATCCCCATCTCTGTTGTTGTGCTGTTAGCAGGGGTGACTCAGGCAAAGTGGGTAGTCAAATACATGAAATGCCTTGAGGAATATTGCAAATCCTGCCCCCCAACCTCAATGTTTTCCACTGGTGCCACATTAGACAGAGTTCTCATTAAGTCATTGTCTTCTTAGCATAAATTCATTCTGCTACAAAATGCCAGTCACCTCACAAGGCCTAAAAGAATGACCTGAACAGATAAGTATTAATAGGAATTAGGGGTGAACAGTAGAACTAGGCTTGGCAGAATGGAAGACAGGAGTTGTAGGAGAAGAGTGAGGACACATAAACTCTATATCATGACTTCACCTTGGGTTGCTTCTGAGAGTGGATCTGAGATTTCGAGTTGCAAATAAATGTTTGCCATTGATTATGCTTGAAGAAGGGTAGCTAGGTGGTGCAGTGGATAGAGTGCCAGGCCTGGAGTCAGGAAGACCTTAGTTCAAATCTGGTCTCAGATACTTACTAGCTGTGTGACCCTGAGCAAGCCATTTTACCCTGTTTGCCTTGGTTTCCTAATCTGTAAAATAAGCTGGAGAAACAAATGGCAAACCACTCCAGTATCTTTGTCAAGAAAACCCCAAACGGGGTCATGGAGAATCAGACACAACTGAAATGACTGAACAATAACAACAAAAGGATCCAGTTGTGGTTGACCTTGTGATGCCAGGTCAGACAAGCCATCTGACGTTCTTCAGAAACTGGGGCAGCTTGCAGCCAAGTCCAGTATACAAGCCTTTTTCAGGGCCACAGACAGCATAAGGGAACACAAGCAGAGAAAGCCACCCAGATAAGAGAATGATCCAGTCTCCCTGCCTTGCCATTAAGAACTCTAATTTGGTTATCTTTTTTATCAACACTTTTAACAATCTTTAGCCACAGTAAGACTCACTCAGGAAAATCAACCTAGACATTCTGGGCTTTTTAATCCCTTTTATTTTTGTTTTCATTTATTTACCACATATAGGAAAATCTCAGTTCAAGTCTCTCCTCTGAAATATATTGGCTGTGTGGCCCTGGGCAAATCACTTAATCTCTTGTTCTAGGCAACTCTTTAAGACTTTTAAAGATCTGCATTGGTAGAAAGAGTCTTCTCATGTAGAGTTCCCAAGACCTTTGAAACCACACACTCAGTCCTAACCCCATGAAATGTCAGTTATTATCTCAATGATGTGGAGACTCTCTCCAAGATCACAGATTATATAACCTGCCCATGGCCTATCATCTTTGAGAGAGTCAGTGTGGTATAGCAGATAGCGAGCTGGTCTCAGAACCAAGAGCTGAGTTCACATCACACCTCTGATATATTCAGAATTTGTGACTTTGGGCAAGTTACTTAAGCTCTCGGTGTTCTAAGACTTTAAGCTGAAGAAGCAGCTTCTGACATTTGTTGGTGGAGGAATAATTCTCTGCTTTTGGCTTTCATGACATTAACTCTCTTAGAATTCAACCCCATCTGTAGTCCATCCAGCCGTGGTCCTGGCTTACTCAGAACTGAACTATATCTCATTTTACCAACTGGCCAACTAGAGCCCCTCTCTAGTAGTAGGGAGTACGGTTCTGGGACTGATGTTCCCCCTTAGAACAGAACAATGTGAAATGACATAAGCCATTTTGTTCATTATTCTCCTCAGCGCTCATCAAGATTTAACAAAAGACAAAAAGTACTCACTTTTTTTGTCAGTAGTATTGTGGACTGTCACCATGGGGACTCTGGGACCTAGATCGATAATAGAGGAGAAGGAGAAAAAAACAACAGAAACAAAGTATTTAGTTGAGACAAAAATATAAACTATTTTTTTTTTTAGAAAACTGCAAAACATCAGACACTGGAGAATTGGATTCCATGTAAGAGAAATCAAAGAAATAACTCATTTGGCAATTAATGTAGTATTGATGGCAGTATTAGATATATGGGGCAAATGGGATTGCCAAGGTCTATGTTTATGGGTTGTTAAATGTACATCTTTCTAATTTTGTAAATGATTTAATTAGAACAAACACAATTAAAACCATTTGTTCTTAGATTATCCTAGTGACATAAAAACATCATTTCACAAAGCATTTACATTTTTCTCATGCCTTAAAACATATTGACTGCTTGGCACCCAGACAGACATTCCATTTGGTTCAAGAAGATCCATGGATGCAATCATCTTTCCCATGGAGTCGGCAGAGTTAGTGCTCCGAAGGACATTGCCCAGTAAATGAGCATATTACATGTTCAGTTCAGTACTCATGAAGCTGTTTAGCCCCCTTCAGTGTTTTCCTTGTAATTGGGGTATGCTGCCACCAGATGGTCATATGTACCCTGATTTAGATGGTTTAAACTACAAAGCATTTGTTTTACCCAAGTTCCACATCACAGGTATATAATTTCCACTCGTTGTCTATTTGAATAGCATGCATTTATTAGAACTGAAAAGTATAAAAACATTGCAAAATAATGCATTTAAATATGACATTTGCAAAGTAAGCTTTCACTCTCCTAATCAAGTCTTACTATTAACACTGAATAAGATTGGATTAGAATACTCCTTTTTAATTAATTCTTTTTTAACTTAAAGTTTTTTTTAATCTCTGTTTTGTTTTTACATCATCTTTATTTTTGAATGTGTTCCTCCTCCTTCCCTTCTCTGTGAGACATCCCTTGTAAGAAAGAATAAAAGACAAAGAGAAAATAACAGTTCAGCAAAACTAACCAACACATGAACCAAGTCTTATAGCATGTGTATACATACATACACATTCATGTAAATACACATACGTATACACACATATGCATATATCTACATGCATGTGTCGGACTAGATATCCCCCTGAGGATTCTTCCTCTCTCAAATTCTGTGATGTAAGAAATGTTGTCTAATCCTTCCTGAAATCCACATACATTAAGCCTATGGAATTCTCTTTATTTATAAGCTTAGTAATGATGTACCTAGCTCACAATTGTCCTCTCCATGCCAACTTTTGCATTTATTCTTGGGTATTAAGATTGATATCTCCCAATTCAATCAACTTCTCAACTCCCATTCTACTTTAGGCACTCACAGGGGTGTCCACAGCTTATGTTTTATAATTGTATCCACTTTCATAGTCCTGAACTCTTAAATACTCTTAACTCTGATTCTATCCTTACACCTCTCCCTCTGCACCATTACTCCTTTTTGGCCATCATTATAACCACCTCTTCTTCCTTCCTATAATCCTCCCAGTCCATCACTCCTATTCCATTCTCGCTTTCCTCCCTTTATAATCCTGACCCAATAGTTAACCAACTGAACTATGCATTTTCCTTCATCCTTGAATCCTTTGCCTCCTTGTGCTTTAGCCATTCACGCCCTACCAATCCTCAGTCCTGGGTTACACTGGTTCTACTTCTTTACTCGATTCCTAATTTAAGAGCTCCTGAGGTGTAAATATGCCTGGTAGGAATGGGGAGTGAAAACATATTTAGTAAAAAACAATGATCTAAGAGCAAAACCAGAATACCATTCTAAGGTCAGAGTCATAGAGAAGTTCGGTAGGCAACCAGTCCACAGAATGAGACTGAGTTGTCAACAACAATATCAACAACAACAACTAACATTTATATAGTGCTTACTATGTGCCAGGCATTGTACTAAGAACTTCATAGTAACTATTTTATATATAAATACACTTACTATATCCTTTGATTATCACAGCAATCCTGGAAAGTAGGTGCTATTTTTATCCTCATTTTACAGATGAGGAAACTGAGACAGTATTTAAGCAACTTACCAAGGGTCACAGGGCTAGTAAGTGTCTGAGGCTGGATTTGAATTCAGGTCTTTCTGACTCCAGGCCCAGTGCTCTATTCACTGAAGCACCTAGCTCCTTGTAAAGAGAGTCTAAGATACCAGGTCCAAGGCATTGAGGGAGGGCTTCATGGAGTAATGTCAGAAAAATAGTGCAGAAGGAAAAACACAAACCCTTAGGGAATGGTGGCTTGTTTCAAGCAACTTCTTCAATCAAGAAGGAATTATTTTAAGGTAGAGCCATCCAATTCACACACCTATTATTATTTGGAGAGCCAGCAGAGCACAGAAAAAAAAAGTGTTCAAGATTTGGAGTGAGAGAATCTAGATTTGAATCCTGATTGTGCACGTTTCTAGCTGTGTGACCCTGAACAAGTCGTTTAACTCTATGGGCCCCCAAATCCTCATCTATTAAGTGAGGGACGTGGATCAGGTGATTTACGAGGTCCCTTTAAACTCTAAATCTATGACCAGGTGATCTGGTCCCATCATTACCTGCTGTGACAGTTTAGACACATGAGTTCTTTCTGAATTGTGACGCAGGTTGCTTTTTTCCTACTCAATTCTCAACAAAGCTCACTGTCCGTGTCTGTTGAAGACATACAGAAATGGATGGATTCACTTGATAGGCTGCTTGTCACATGATACGATGTTGGTAGTATGCGTTTTCATCCATTTTAGTTTTTAAAGAATAATTGGATTCAAGTCCTGCCTTTGACCTAAAGAGACTGCGTGATGAGGGGCAAGTCACCTAACATCACCTAACACCTCAGAGGCTTAGGCAACTTTCTGAGACCATAAGTGAACTGTTGATCTGTGTTGGTGGAGGGGCTTTCTATACTGGGACTTTCCCACAATGATGAAATTACAGATCCAAACAAAAAGATGATGTATGTGAAAGATAAGAGCAAATAAGGCTCAAAAAGGTAACTAATTATGAGTACATAGTTAGTAAGCATTGGATTACTTGAACTCAGATCTCATCTAAGCTTTCCTTATTATACCATACTGCCATAACATTTATGAGTAGGAACATTTGAAAAATCTTATTTTTTTTGGACTCTAGTTGCAAGATATCTTTCACAATGCTGTCGAACACCTTAGTCGAGCATAATTTTCCATGTTATATATCTCACATGATGCCAATAATCACTAGATTGATGAGTAAAGTTATTTTTAGTCACATCTATCACAGTATTGTAAGCATAGCAGATCCATTGTTTGAGGAGTCCCTTCAAGATTAATTTTGTTCTACTAAGAAGATTAATAAATGATAGACCCAGGAAGATTTTATATTATCTGTACTTGTCAGTTATGTGACTATAAAAATGTGGTTGGTTCTAGAATACTATCTGTGAAAGCCTTCTTTCTGGTTCTTCCCTCATGTTTTTATTAAGTCTGAGTATAAAAAACATTTTGAATGATTTCCGATTGATAAGAAATTAGGTATATGGTGGGTAGTTTCTGATGTTTTCTTGGTTCCTATTCTCTTGGCCACAAAATCTCCAGATGTGATTTTTTTTCACTCTTTTGGAATCTTTCCTCTTTGAGATATCTTGAAAATCAGTCCCTCAGTTATTTCAAATTTTATAGAATGTGAAAAGTGCCAGTGCACATGTGTAGCCTTTTCTGATCTACTCTGCCCCCTTGGCTGCTAGTTCCTTTCCCCCAAATTATCATGTACATGTTTTCATACATATACATAAATGCCTTCTCCAGGGAATATATTGTAGAGTTTTCTCTAACATCAATTTCTTATATATTTATTTGGTTAGGGCCAGGTGCTCTTCCCAACTTCATCTTACCAGTGCCATTGTCATTTCCTCAAATAGTAATTGTGTAATACTGTAGCAGATTTCAAATGTGGTGACTATAGTTGCCAATGAATACAAATCACCATAAAATGCAGGAATATGAACAAGATCACAGAGTTAAAGTTTCTGGCTAAACCTGATTTCTCTCCTATGACCTAAAAAATAGCAATAAGTATACCAGCAAAGAACAATAATCAGAGTCGTGATGGGAAAGAAATTATCACAGGGTAATTCCCAGAAATAAATAGATAAAAACAGCAAAGGGCTGCATTATTGGCTCCTTGCTTCCCCCACCCCAATCCCTATGTTGTGGATTCTATATGACAGTGGTTCCAGCAGCTACTGAATTACAAAAAAATTAGAATTAATAGCAAGGGGTGATGGGCAATCAACAAGGGCTAACCTCCCCCCAATAGACAAAAATGACAAAAAAGGGAATGAGGAATGAACAAGCAAGTAAAAAAATTCCCAATACAATGAATAAATACTACTGGGTAAGAAAATCCTAAGAAAAAAGCTTAGTAGGGGAAGTTATTCTGAAATAGCTATGACTAGACCCCAAGACTAGAAAAAGGAATGTGTACAAAACCTCTGAAAGTCATTGGAAGGCATAACAACAGAAATGAAAGAAGAAACAGGGAATGGAATAGATAGCCTTAAAACAGAATCTGTAAAAACTCATAAAATTAAAATCCTGAAAAAAATGGAAGAAACAGAAGTAAACATTTAAATGATACAAGAAATATTAGAGCAAAGTCAAAAGACAAAATACGGAAGAAAATTCCCTAAAAGTACTGGAATGAGAGGGAAAGTGTAGATTGATAGACTCTATAGGTCATCACCAGAATGAAACCCTAGATACAACAACCTAGGAATGCTTTGCCAAGCTCAAGAATAAAGAAAAAAATCAATCAATTAGGAGAGATATGGATCATTTACCAGGAAACCCCAGTTAGAGTTTTGTATGACTATGCATTAACTAAGAGAAAAGAAAGAAGCCTGGATACGATATATTAAAGGGTACAGAAAATAACTTGCTCCCAATTTGTAACTTATCTTGCAAATCTTAAAAGGTTAACCTAAAATAAAGGAACCTGTAAGAACATCAGTGAAATCTAAGTATTCTA